TTTTATGTTATCAGTACTTGGTGTCGCGCAATCGCATATGATCTCCGTCATCACAGCCTTTCAGTTAGCAGGCAGTTTAGGTTCGGTAAAGATTTGACGTGAAAAAAATCATTCCCCCACGACACTACAGATGTTAGGCAAGATTATTACATAGTCAATAAATATTCATCGGTCAGCACATCGATTACGAATTTCCGTGATGGGAAGCTGAGTACAGGGCTTTTTCGTCGCTGGTACACAGGGTTGCATCGACCATGTGCCCGCCATTATTCTATTACGTCATTTAAGTGAACCGTCCTATGGTGCGTAAATTGACTTTTTTGATTGGTCGGACGATTGACCTCGTGTCACATTTTCATTATACCGGATTCAGTAAAAAACACAGAGTTAAGCGGTCATGTACCTTCTATAAATCTAACCTTGCACATATAATCTTGTACTGATGTGTTTTTTGTCCAAGAAAGACGTTCCCTTTCATTTAACCCCCAGTTAACTCTTCACGTTTATGGTATTTGTGAGAGTTAAAAGATTTTTCGAACAAATGACAAGTAACTATATTGATTTGTGTCAAGCTGGGTGGCCTGAATTTAAATATCAGTGCATGAACTCTGGAGGTCATTGCCCAATGCCGCACGTAATTCAAACGCGTGGTTATTAGAGTTCAGTCGAAATGTATGTGAATAATGCGATCGAAGTCCGCTGCCCAGAGTTTATTATATTATAGTAAAATTTAATTTGACGTATGGTATGTTTATGTTTGTGTAATTATTATGAATGCAACGCATTATCAAGTCGGTGATATTGAAATATTCACAGACCCAATACCCGGGGTCAGTGCCCTAACAATAGTTAAAAAAAAAATAATTATCATGAAAGCAATACATAACAAAGTACAGAGCCGGTACAATATTGTAAACAAATTTGCGTAATTAGAAAAGCAGTGCACTCAGTAAACTACGTTCAAGTTGATATATTCAAGCCAGTACAGAGTTGCATACAAGTTGTGTAATTACAGTACCTTCGGATATAATAACAATTTTACTAGTTTGACGCGCAGGGCACGAAAGAAAAAAAGGTTGCTAAGGTAACGTGCCAGTTCAGTGCGTGACTTGGGGGTCAAACTTCGGTCAACACACACTTGATGTCGGCATCGCCACGCAACAAGTTTCGCAAAGAAGTACTTGAAGTTCAATTGCGTCCCAAAATGATGTCGCTGATCACTCAGTTGTCTCAGCGTGTGTTGTGTCATGTCCATGATGCACCCCATTTCGACTTTGGCTTGCTTTTCCTTCTTAGTGATGCGACCTCTCACCAATGTATTAAAACACTTTGAATTTATATTTTGCATGATTATATTTGGTCAACGCGAAACATTATTTTTTCCCAGACAAGATGGGCTTCGTAATATCTGCCATAACATCGCCCGAGCGATGCCTAGAAAAATAAAAAAAGGCAGTGCAGCCAGACAGCTACTTTGTAGCCACGTGTTCATTGTTTGTTTGTGTGCAGAGTGACCTTTGCCATTTCACTGTTTCATTTCAAGTGTAACATGGTGCGTGGTCTTTGACGCAGTGCGTGTTCTCTGCCCGACTATACACCATGAATTTCGCTAGCCACGAGTCTCAGAGGCACTCAAAAAAACCTTCTGTAATCGTGTTCATTGGAAAACAAAACAAATCACTAATAAATTTATGAAAACAGCTCCTTTTTGAATGGATCAAAAAGTACTCTTAATTCGCACACCAAAAACCAATAATTTCCGTTTTTATGCTATTAATTCGTGCACTTGAAAAAATAATTATTTTTACTACCGCGAATTAATCGAGTTTTTACGGTAGTTCTTGTTCTAGCTCCAAGGTGTGAACAAAGCAGTAAAATGGGTCTTTGAGTCCAGAAAACACTACAAATACCATTTCCTCATTCTTGAGTGGTCGAAGACGGACAGAAATTGCACAGCATTGAAACATTTTGTGAAACAGTCTATGTTTATGTTTGGCCCTGTACAGATTCTTGACTGGGATATACCATTTTTAGCACAGGGTTGGAAGATGCAATTGTATGTAAATATGAGAACTACTTACAATTAATAAATGTAATTAATAACTGTTGACTTAGTTTGAATTTCTGCACATTTGATAAAGAAATATAAACATTAACCCTCATCTGGTCAAGTCAAAGTAAAAGTACATGGGTGCTGGCAGGATAAAAATAAAAAATTTCATGTCAATAAACAATGTATTTTACACGCGTTGTATACGTCGCTATGAGTCCCATATCGAACAGGACGCGGTGCAACGACTGTCGCCCTTTAAGCAATATTTTTGGCGATCCTAAGGTGAGGGGTAGGATAAATTCCTACAAATCAATGTCCAGTTCAGTTGTTTAAATTAACGTCTCAGTTGGCCACGCCTCTATTTTCATTGCTTGGATGACAGTTAGGTATTTTTCAATTTAGGTAGCAAATTTGACGGACATCTTGCAAAACTGCAGTTCCATGCACACGTCACCACAGCAGTAAGTAAACCATGCAAAATTTTCCTTACCTTCAAATTCTGATTCTGAGAAATTAAACATGACCACTCCCACATTTCCTCTATAGTCTTGATCTATCACACCAGCTACAGTGAAAAACAAAAACACCATTGTAGCTGTTTTTCAAAAAAAATTAAGGTTTAATATCATTTTTATTGCAATTAATAACATTTTAATTACCTTGGGTTGCAGCATTTGGACAAGTATATTTTGTCACAAAATTTTACAAAATATTTCTCTAATATTTGGATGCCAGAAAGCAGAAATTTGGGTTAACAAACAGGGCCATATCATATAAAGTAGGAATACTTCTTGTACTAAAACAAGAGTCCCGCTCTAGGGTTTGGAGTTATGTTTAAACTCACTTGTTCAAAATGCATGTTGCCTATATATTTACTATAGCCTAAGACATGTCACTTGCTATCCAATTGACAATTTTATGTGTCCCATACATAGCTATACGACTACTCATAGTGTCTAGCCCTGCTCTTTAATATCACTCTTTGAGCGCCACAATTTTTCTCATTCAGATTTTGGCACAAAATTTTGCCCGTTTTAGGTATTTAGGTAATTTAGGGTTCATTGAAATGAAATAAAATCCCAGGATAGGCTATAGGTTTGGATTGAATTTAAATAAAAATGTGTGGTTTTTATTTTTTGTGGATGTGACAAAAGTTCAATGATCGTGATTTTTGAAATTCAGCAATACAATGATCACTTATAAATATGCAAAACAATTGCACTGGATTTTGTATAAAGGGGAGGGGGAACAATCCACCCATTTCAAACTCAGGATTTTGATAGCCACGGCTTCTTCTAGTTATAACTTTTGCATGCCAAAGTCAATTTTTGTCACTTTTCACACAAAAAACATAACAAAACAAAAACATTTTTTTTTTCCCCAAAAGAAATTCATAAAACCTGCAAGCAATGAGAAGTTATGTCCATTTGATCCAAAGTTAAAGGAATTTCGATGGAAAAATGATGGCGTTGAAAAGGTCAGTTTTTTTACTATGTAATTGAGCAACTATACCTCCAACATCTATAAAATGCTTCACTGCCAACCCCGATCGTGGTGCAACTCTTCCATAGCAACCATCAGGTAACTGTATTTGTATGTCAGTCATGGCCAGCACTTTGTCTTTAGGTTTTATAGTGTAATCATAGGCGCTGTTGAAAGATTAGAGAAAAATGTAAGTGAATAAATTTCAGTGCAGAATTTTGGTGAAAAAATTCAGTTGACAAAATTTGGAAAGCACAATTTTTTCTTCTTCTTGAAAAAGTAAAAGTTGATCTTTTGAAATCAAGTGAAATTTTTTTTTTCTAAAAAGCATGTTACACAGACTTTTCTATTCTCATTTTTACGCCTTAAATTTGCAGGTAGATGTATTTAAATAGCATCTTAATCTTCTATCCAGCTCATTTATTTCAAAGCTGGGTCCTCATTTAATCTAGTAGGCAAAATTTTACCAACTAGAATTTTGCTAACAACCTCTATCCCCCAACCAGTTGGAAGATCAAATAGAACCATAAAATTTACCAACTAGAATTTTGCTAACAACCTCTATCCCCCAACCAGTTGGAAGATCAAATACAACCATAAAAAAAACATTACCAGTCTAATGTGAAAATGCATTCTCATCACATTTGTTTTATTATTAGCACAAGTGACTATGTAAATGACAGTGAACAGTTTTCTTTTCCCTAATAAGCCAGTATACAATGAACGTAGTATTCGATTATGTGAATTTCCTCATGCACTTCAATTAAATTGCCGAATTGGACAAGTGTTTAAAATGTAGAGGTCAATGACAGAGGGTGAATACACGGCAAATATATATCAGGATTTGTCCTAATGCTTGATATCGTGCAACATTACAGTCAAATATCATACGATTTGATCCACCGAATCACTAGCAAATGTTAAGTTTGAATTTTCGAATAACATTACTACAATATCTGCAATGGAAAATGGTATTCAGTTCCCATAGCATGTTCTGAAGTAAACATGATGTCATCTCGCTCAATTTGCATTTTTTCATGTTAATTTTTCTTCAACAAGACGAACCAGTTGAGCAAGGCTAACCGAGCCGTGGCGTCGATGTGGTTCGTAACCAGTCTTGTAATTGGTTGTTGACAAAATGTTTTGGGTAAATCAAGGAAATACGCGCTGTTACGGCACGCCTGATTGGCTGAAAATGAGTATGCGCACTTGATTTACCCAGTACTCTGTGTGAATCCCCCTTGATTCTGGCTGCTGGCCATTTTCGTTCATGAAATCATCGGATATCATCAGAAAATGCGGGATTTGTGCAGTTTTGAATAAAATAAAGTTAGCGATTATGAACAATGGTTATTAACATAACACCTAATCCCCTCTAAAATTTTTGTTTCGCATTTTAAGGTAAGAAATCGAAACTTGAAACCGACAGGGTGTCGATTTACTAGGTGCCATGTTTCACAACTTGTTTATTTATATACGTATAGCGGGTGATTTTTTTTAAAAATTAGTATTTATTGCCCCAACCCCCAGGGGTGGTTCAGCGTTGGTCGATAGGTGGCGAAAGGGCCAAACACCCCATCAGCACAGTGAATAGATACAAAAACGTATATGTTTTTTACCTCCATGGTTAACAGAAATACCCCACACTAAAAATCACTACAGACGTCAAATACAAAACAAACAAGTCATTGTCAATGACACGTCCCCGTTCCGTTCATATTTGAGTGACATATACATTCAAAGCAGATCATGACCGAAATCTCAGACCCCTTTCAGAACAAAATCCATCCATGCATGACTGAGATCCGGTTCCTGAATTGTGAAAATACGTGATTTTGATGCATTTTCGGCCTTAAAATGGCCATCATTCAGTTATTGTTAAGCGGATCATGAAACAAATGCACATATCTATTTGTGACATGATGTACCATTTGTGTGTGAAGTTTGAACTTGATCAATCCAGACATGTCTCGGATACGGATCAAGAACTGAATTTTTTAAAACAAAATGGCCACCAGTCGGCCAATTTCGAACTTGATCCGAAAAAAAAAAATGACGTGCATCAAGGTCCTATTATGTTAAATGTATGTATCAAATTTGAACAAAATCCGTCCATGCATAACTGAGACCCGGGTCCGGAATGGTGAAAATGTGCGATTTCAGTGCATTTTTGGCCTTAAAGCGGCAGCCATTTGGCTATCGTTAATGAGATCATGAAACAAATGCACA